AGAGAGAGAATATCCTAATGGTGTTTTGTTTTTATTAGTTTCTTCTTGCATTTGCTTGTACAGCTCATTTGCTTGCTTGGTGTGGGAATTAATTAATTGAGGGTGGAACATGTGACAGATACCACTTAAGTAAAAGTTTAACATTAAGGGTTTGTTAATATTCAATGAACCGAGAGGACACATTTTAAACAAGAATAGAAACAGAGTAGAAAAGGTGAAAATGGTCTGTTATGGAAGACCAGAATCTAATAATGATCAACTAGAGCAATAGGGTATGAAAAAGTTAAAATGTGTCTATTCCCAAAGGAAAACAGGAAGAAAACTATAAAGGTATAATCTATAATTTATAAATTACAAATGTTCTAGGTTAGCTGTCTAAAACTAGTTTGATGTGTATATATGTGTGCTTTATGCTGCTCACTGAATTATTAGTAAAATACCCCAAAACTAGAAGAACAGACACATTAAAAAATCCTCCCACAAGATACAAGATGCAGACTTGCTCCTTCCTACTTTTGGATATTATAATGTGAGGATATTATGCTTAGAGCTAATGAAATCATCTTAACTATAAAATAAATTATTGCTAAAATTTTGAGGAGGGTAGAGCAGCAAGATGGAATGCACTTGATCACTATTCTAGAGCTTCTCAACCAAACTTGAACTTTCTATCTCTGATCTTCTCAATTTGTGGATAATAAATTTCTTTCTTTCTTTCTTTTTTTTTTTTTTTTTTTGAGACAGAGTCTTGCTTTGTTTGTTGCCCAGGCTAGAGTGAGTGCCGTGGCATCAGCCTAGCTCACAGCAACCTCAAACTCCTGGGCTCAAGCAATCCTGCTGCCTCAGCCTCCCGAGTAGCTGGGACTACAGGCATGCGCCACCATGCCCGGCTAATTATATATATATATATATTAGTTGGCCAATTAATTTATTTCTATTTCTAGTAGAGATGGGGGTCTTGCTCTTGCTCAGACTGGTCTCGAACTCCTGACCTCGAGCAATCCGCCCACCTCGGCCTCCCAGAGTGCTAGGATGACAGGCGTGAGCCACCGCGCCCGGCATAAATTTCTTAATATTAAAAAATAATACTCCACACTACTGAATAGAGCCAGTTGATTTTAACAATCATGAATATATTTTTAAAGTATACAGTTAAGATACTCTAAATCCATAAGTTATTTCTAAAATAATAAAAACAGCTAAATATTTATTTTAATATCAAGCAACAAGATAATGAATCCCAATGGAAACAAATAAGGGATTTCAAATTTATCTACAGGCTACTTTAGGATATCTATAGCAATTTTTTGAAAGTACTTTGCCAAACGGTTCCCTGTGAGAGCAAGTTTAACTGTAGCAACCTGAGAATCAACTTACTCTCAGTTTTCTTTGGGTCATGGCTGTTTCTAGGGCAATTTCTCTTAAGGGATCCCTGGTGATGTCAAGCATGGAAGCTTTGATTGTGTCTCCTGGATACAGGCTTAGCCGAGACTGCCTAAGGGCCATTCTGGCTTGCAGCTGCATCATTTCTTCTTCTTGCCGTTTTAGCATGATCTCTTGATTAATTAAGTTGCCTTCAAGGGGTGTTTCATATTGTCTGCTGTATAGAAAAGAGGAGAAGAGTAAGGGTTGGGAAGAAAACAATTGTTTAAAGGCTAATCAGGAAAACTACATGTTAAGTAAGGTAGCAAGAATTTAAACAAATTTTTACCTTTTCACCTGAGAAGAATCTTTGCATTATACAATGTGGCATAATAAGAAATATATATGTTTGATATTTGTCCCTGATTCCCAACAAAGAGGTTTTAAAACCCTTGCGACTTTCTGAGTGACAGGGATGATAGGAGAATCTTTGTTCTACTAACAATATTTGGTGTTTGATACTGGTTCCTGACATAGAGCTCCTAAAATTCTTGGAATTCCTAAGTGATAGGAGCCTCTTTCATTCTAATGCGGAAACTCTTGGTGGGACCCTAGATAGCTTCAGATGGGGTCACCAGAAAGACCAAACCTTGATTAGAAGCCTAGAACTTTCAGCACTACTCTCCCCAACTTCTGGGGAGGGGCTGGAGAGTGAGTCAATAGTCGATCATACCCATGTCATGGAACCTCCATAAAAGCCCCCAAATGATAAGGTTCAGAGAGCTTCTGGGTTAGGGAACGTATCCACATGCCAGGAGAATGACATATCCTAACTCCATGGGAAGAAGCTCCTGTGCTCAGAACCCTTCTAGACCTTGCCCTATATACCTCTTCATCTGGCTGTTCATCTATACTCTACATATTATCTTTTATAATAAATCAGTAAAAGTAAGTAAAGTGCTTCCCTGAATTTTGTGAGTCATTCTACTATATTATCATAGAAACCCCTTGATTTATAGCTAGTTGGTCAGAAGTATGAGAGGCCTGGGATTTGTAACTGGCTTCTGAAATTGGGGTAGTCTTGTGGGATGGAGCACTTAACTTGTGAGATCTGACGCTAACTCCAGGTAATTAGTGTCAGAATTGAAGTAAATTGTAGGACATTCAGCAAGTGTCCAAAGCAGGGGTCCTCAAACTACGGCCCGTGGGCCACATGCGGCCTGCTGAGGACATTTATCCGGCCCGCCGGCTGTTTTTGCTGCCACTGCCTGTCCTGCTTAGCAGCCTACTCCTCTGGGCCCATGGTGCGCATGTGTGGAATGTGTGCCGCACTCTCCAACGGCCCTCCAACAGTCTGAGGGACAGTGAACTGGCCCCCTGTTTAAAAAGTTTGAGGACCCTTGGTCCAAAGACTTGGGAGAATTGGTTGTTGATGTGAGAAAAAGCCCGTATGTTGTGTCAGAAATATTCTATTTTTAGTGGGTAGATCTATATCCTCCACTTCTCTGAACATTCTAGCATTCTCTGAAGACTGCTTCCCCTGTAGTTTTTTCAGACAGGGGCTGTTTTATTCTTACAGGCCTAGAGGTGGGAAAAGATTCTCCTTAATTCTTATTTCAGCTTTGGGACCACTGTTGACCCCTCCTCCAATAACCCTCAACTCTCTGCAAGTGTATACCATAAAATCATAATATCTACTGCTCTGCTTTGTTCTAGACATTTTTGTCTGAATACACTTCCTGCTGATATCTGCATGGATTACTTTCTTACTCCAATCAGCTTTCTGTTCAAAGTCATCCCTTAAGAGAGATAGTCTCTGATCATATTACCTATATAAAATAGAATCTGGACATTATATCCCTGTACTTCCTATCCCCTTAGGCAGCTTTATTTTTCTTCAAAATGCCATCACTATATGCATTACTTACTTTTCTTATGGTTTATTGGCTGTCTCTCATCTCTAGAAAGTTCCCCAGGGGCTGTGTTGTTCATAACTCTATCTCAAGTACCTAATACATGGTAGGTGCTCAATAATTACTTGTGAAATGAATGATTGAATATAATTTTATGGTTCGCTCTCACGTAAGAGGGGAGGATTCATGGACAATAAGAACTTGAATCCATACATTTAAACTCAAATCTGTTATTTTTTCCAAGTATATTAGCCTTCTTGCTCAAATTATTTTACACCAGAGCTACTAACAGGTAGCAAAAATGATTATTATTTTCTCTCTCCCAACACAGTTATCTGGTAGAAGTTTCTGTAAATACTGAAAAGTTCAAGAGGCAAAAAACAAGAAACAAAAACAATGATGACTCTGTTTGGAGTCAGAAAAAAAAAGCTTACCTCAACAAGCAAAGAGGCACAGAAGCAGTGGGAATGTACTATGTGTAAATTGTACTTCAAAAGCTAACACATAAAAAGGCTTAGAGATTCTCTTTGGAAATGACTCTGAATATCCATTTTGGTCACTGAAAGACACTTTTGATAGCTCAGAATATAAAAATTACTCATTCTGCTGCATCTGACTCAATTTCCTGTTAATCTTCCTCCACCCCCTAGGATACAAATTAATAGCACTCTCTAGATCTGTGTTGCCATTTCATTCTAGCTAAAGGAAATGGAAATTTTTATAAAGAAGCATGCAACATGTATAAATACCGCAGTATTTATAGATCTTAGAAATACGTGACCTAAAGAACAAAACAAGACCATGTCATTATGTACCAGCATGTTAAGAATATTATCAGAAACCTTTGTACACATTCAGAAAATTCTGCACTTGAGGAAGGAATGTAGCCAATATTTTAGTTAATGTGTGCTTCTGTGGGCAGAAAAAAGATGGAAATAGTTAAAAGAAGTAGAGTTTAGCAACTTACATTAAGACAATATATACATACACCTAACAATCCACTTCCTGAAATATTTTTCTTTTACCTATAGCTATATCTAACTAAGATGCTATGAACATCACACAGGTTTTTCTTCTCCCACAAAGCGTAAACATGGATTTGACAAACTAAGGTGGCCTTAATGTTAATATTTCTGTAAACATAATCTAGAAACAGTGAAAATTAAGATTCTCTTACAATCTTGACACTTTTGAGGTTCCTTATCATGAACATTAAAATAAAGCTCACAAAATGATTTAACTTTGTTTGAAAAATATGTCTTTATATATATATATATATATATATACAATGTCTCCCTCTGTTGCCTGGCCTAGAGTGCCGTGGCATCAGCCTAGCTCACAGCAACCTCAAACTCCTGGGCTCAAGCCATCCCCTTGCCTCAGCCTCCCGATTAGCTGGGACTACAGGTGCATGCTATCACGCCCAGCTAATATTTTCTGTTTTTAGCAGAGACAGGGGTCTCACTCTTTCTCAGGCTGGTCTTGAACTCCTGAGCTCAAGTGATCCTCCTGCTTTGGCCTCCCAGAGGGCTAGGATTACAGGTGTGAGCCACCATGCCCAGCCAAATTGTCTGTTTTAATCACATGGTTATGGGTACCTGATCTATTTACAGGTGTGAAATGGTATCTAGCAGAATTAATAAGCCAAGGGGCAAATTTTTGTTAATTTCCAAATGATTCTTTTATATTTGGTGGCACTGGAATTAAACCAACTGAAATATAGAATTTAAAAGGATTCCCACACATTGGGAGTAAATTTGAAGCAACCTCTAGTCCTCTCATATATTACAAATTTGAAATTAATATTTAGCATTAACAACATCTTTTGATTATGTAAGACACCTGTGCATACATGACCAGAACATATATCACTACTGACTTGACACCTTTCAGTTTAAACAAAGTAAATCAATACACAGCTCTAGTACTACCACCCTAACTCTAGCACAATAATAACAGTAATACCTTACAGGAAATTCGCTAAGTATTTCAGTATGAAAATGAACTCTAAACAGCTTAAATTTGTCTTTTAAAAAATACCAGATAACCTCTGTTAAGCCAGAAAAGATATATTAATAGTAAATAATTAATTTTTTACATAATAGTTACTTAGTAGTAACCTACTCATTATTCATTCGACAAATAAATACTCACTGAAAGCCTGCTGGTTGAGGATGTTTCAACTTTTCAGAAGAGGTATTATTCTCTTAGAAATCAAAGTTTACTATCTTTTCACAAATTTTTAATGCCATGCTTTCACCTTCCTGTTATTTTATATTCATATTGACAATTTAAAAAATCAGGCACGAACTATAAATAACTAGAGCAAATTCTGATTTTAAAAGACTCCAGTACCTTGTCATGTAATTGGGTGAATTTCTGAGAACTTAAAGAGAAAGGGAGCTAAGGGAAAGGAATAGAAAAGGAAAATGAAAAAAATAAAAGCAATGAAAAAAACTACTTGACTCTAATAAAAGAAAACCCGAAACACCTGTCCCTGAAAATACATTATTACTATATTTTCATTTGCATACCTTGGTCTCTGCGACTGGCCTTGACTTGGGGTTTCATCTACCCCTGGGAGACCACTGCTGGATTCAAATCTCTTTGAGGCTTCACTTCTTCTAACTAATTATGAATGAAAAAATAAATAATGATACAGGTCATAAAAATATGAAAGAATTCTTATTTAAAACTCAAATATTTAGCAGACATATATTTGTACAAATCATATCCATAGAACCAAATTAATGACATTATGTTATTAAATCCTTTTGGGGTAAGTCATGTTATTTTTAAAGATAATGAATTATTACCTCCATGATGAAAATGAATACACTATTGTTTGATGAAACTGCTATTTAGCTCCTATAATACTATTAATGAGTAAATGGCATCTTTTTATAATTTAAAAATTTTATATGGAATGATCCTTCTTGACAACTTATAATTCAACACTACTGAAAGAAGAATGATAATTGTGGTTTCTTAAAAGCAGCATTTTGCTTATTTCAGATATATCTCACCTTGTCTGAAATCTGATTCAGAGGAAATAATAGATGGACTTTCACTGGAAGTATTAAAGATGTCACTGTGGTAAGTCTTGTATCTTCGAACTGGTTCTAAAGAATGGAAACAAAAACATTATAAAGGAAACTCATTAGCTGTTCCACACACATCAAATAATGTATTACGTTTAATCTTGTGGTGCTAGAACATTTTATACATTGCTTTAAATTTACCAATTGCTGGACTGTATTAAAAAAATGTGGTCCCAACTGTGAGTCAGCCTGGTATACTGGTTAAGAGCATGGACTCTGGAGTCAGACGACCTGGGTTTGAGTCTCAGCACTACCACTTAAGAATTAAATGAATGAAAACATGCAAAGTGCTCAGAACACGGGAACAGAGTACATGCTATATATAAGCATCACCGTTAATGAGCAGTTTTGGAATGCTTACTTACTATGTGTAATTCTCTGTTGGGTGCTATAAGCCACAGAAAACCCAAAGACACAACTTTGGGTGTGAAATGTAGAAGATAAGACATGTATACAAATACTTAATTTGAGACAGATGTTTAGTTCCACCAGAATGAGGTGATAAGCATTGGAAGTAGAGTTCTGCATAGGTTTGTGCATGTGCCCTGTACAAAGGGGTAGGGCCCAGGGGCAAGGGTGGACTAAAATTTAAATTCTACCTTCTAAATATTTCTTTTTATTTACTTGGTATAAATTTAAGGGGTACAAATGCAGTTTTGTGATATGAATATACTACATAGTGGTGACGTTTGGGCATTTAGAGTAAACCATCACCCAAATAATGTACACTGTACCAATTAAATAATATCTCATCCCTCACCACCCTCCCACATTTCTGCCCTTCTAAATCTTCAATACGTATTATTCCACACTCCACGTCCATGTGCATACGTTATTTAGCTCCCACTTATGACCCATTCCCTCTTCTTCAGCCCACTGTCCCTATCATTGAGCACTAGTCCTCTTGTGCCTGAACGACTGCATGTCTCCTAAATCCCCTTTCTGCAGTCTTGCTCCTCTCATATGATAGATAATTCACGTTACAGAGAGGTAAGCTTTCCAGAAATGAAAATCTGAGTATGCCATTATATTTCTTAAACTCCTTTAAACTAGAGTGTTCAGAATACAATTTACACAACTCCTTAGGTTGGCATATAAAGCCTTTCATAACCTAGTCCCCAACTACATTTATAACACTGGCTCTGCATGATTTGAAATCAGATTCATTTGTGAGAATCGGGTAAAAAAAGTATAGATCTCTGTGTCCCCAACCCCCAAAATTTATATATATACAAAATTTAAATATAAATTTGAGACAATTCAGGTAAAAGCTTTATTACCATCCACTTCCCCCCCCAAAATTCTGCACTCAGCTTTCTAAATTTGCAGATAATCAAAAGCATATTAATTTTGAGATTTCTTCCTGTAAGATCATTCCTCTGCTATAATTTCTCTCTTCTCCTTCTTCTTTACCTGAATACTTTTTTTTCCTTTAAGAGAAGCCTCATCTTCTACCTAAAAGGTTTTAAGACCACCTAAAGTCTGAGTTAGACGTTGCTCTCTTACTTTTATATTACCTTATGCTTAACTAATTGCAACTCTTCCACTACTTTGTAGTTCTCTCTGTACTTGTTTGTGTCCACTACCTAAATGATAAGTTCTCTGACAAAAAAGATTTTTCTCTTTCTTAATGTACTTCTAGTATCTAGCAAGTATCTGGTGCATAGCAAGCACAAAGTAAATATTTTCTGAATAAAAAAATGTATAAGTGTTACATAAAGATCACTGGTGACTTTCAATGGAACTATTTTCATTATGCAAACAGGTCAGAGGCCAAATCAAAGAGGTTGTTAAAGAAGGACTAGATGGTAAGAAGTTAAGTAAATGAATATACCACTATTCTCTCAAGAAGTTCGAGGGTTTGAGAAAGGAAAAAGATTTTAAAAATTTGACAGAGTTATCAGGGTCTTTCTTGTTGGCACAGTGGAATGTTTGTGCCCAATTTCAGGCAGTGAATAAAAGGCCTGTGGAGTCAGGGAGAGTGAAGTTGCAAATGGTAGTTAAGAAACCTGATTAAAAAATATGCTGCAGGAAACAGGAGATGGAAAAAAGGACACACATGGGATGGTCAGTTGGGCAAGGAGAAAAAAATCTTTCCTTCATAAGAGAAATAAATTATGCATACAGGAAAAGGTAAAAATACAGAGGGAAGCCCAAGATGCTCATGTCAGAAAATTGCCTTGTAATAAAAAGTGAATCACTTCCTAGGAGCCGGTTTGGCTGGAAGCTTGAGAAGAGTGGAGAAATTCTGCTGTGAAGAATGTTGATAAGGGTCAGCAGAAACCACATGAAAGTTTTCATGTAGCCACAAGGTTTAAGGGTAGGCTAGAATGCATGAATTTTAGTGGAACTGATAAGATTTGTTTCGTGACTTTTTCTTGGCACGGAAGAAAGTAGACCGTGGGAAATACCTAAAACTGAGGAGTGACACAGGATGTATGGCAGCAGAGAATCAAGGAAGGTGAGAATTCTTTTTCAGTAGTCTACAACACTAAGGACAGGGACTTCACACAATGAATTCTTCACACAATGAATTATTCCTTGTGCTAGAAGGTGTTTAATAGAGATTCCTTAAAATAAAAAAATAGAGATTCTTAAAAAAAAAGAAAGAAAGAAAGAAAGAAATAAAAATGTTAAAAAAAAAAAAAGAAAGAAAGAAATGAATGAATTAAATGGTTAAAATGGCATCAAAGGAACCAGGTTTGTGAAACCAGAATGAGGTTGATGGGCTGGAAGAATTGAGATGTCATGCCCAGAGAAAGGACAGGAGTCATGTTGGACAAAGCTTTAAATAGATGAGAGGAATAGAAGGATAGATGACTAGCCATAGACTTGATGGGCAGGAACTAGTGCATTGTTCGTAAGATAATGTTTACCTGCAGAAATAGGTATAATGTAGCAGACTTGACTTTGTCCATCTTTGTTTACAGTGAACATGAATATCAGGTAATAATTAATGAAGTTTTAGAATTGAAAATCAAGGTATTTACCAGTACCTTTTTTCTAAATGATTGCATTCTACTACAAGGAAGTCTCATGGTAAAAATAAATAATTTTTAAAAACTCCTGTGATTTAAAAGGATTATAGAAGATGGAAAACAATAGTTTTATCTAATACTACTTTAAATCTAATGAACATGGTATATTATACACAAGTTAAATAGTTACTTAGGAGGAAGTGCTATTTTCAAGGAGCCCCAAAATACCTTTGTTTTATTGTTAGAGAAGCCCCAAGCTAAATTGTTTTTATTTATTTATTTATGTTTTGTTTGTGGTTTTTTTTTTTTTTTTCTTTTTTTGAGATAGAGTCTCACTTTGTTGCCTATGCTGGAGTGCCGTGGCATCAGCTTAGCTCACAGCAACCTCCAACTCTTGGGCTCAAACAATTCTGTCTCAGCCTCCCGAGTAGCTGGGACTACAAGCATGCACCACCATGCCTGGCTAATTTTTTTTTTTTTTTTTTTGAGACAGAGTCTCGCTTTCTTGCCTAGGCTAGAGTGAGTGCCGTGGCGTCAGCCTAGCTCACAGCAACCTCAAACTCCTGGGCTCAAGCAATCCTGCTGCCTCAGCCTCCCGAGTAGCTGGGACTACAGGCACGAGCCACCATGCCCGGCTGATTTTTTCTATATATTTTTAGTTGGTCAATTAATTTCTTTCTATTTATGGTAGAGACGGGGTCTCGCTCAGGCTGGTTTTGAACTCCTGACCTTGAGCAATCCGCCCGCCTCGGCCTCCCAGAGTGCTAGGATTACAGGCGTGAGCCACCGCGCCCGGCCTCCTAATTTTTTCAATATATTTTTAGTTGGCCAATTAATTTCTTTCTATTTTTAGTAGAGATGGAATCTCGCTCTTGCTCAGGCTAGTTTCGAACTCCTGACCTCGAGCAATCCACCTCGGCCTTCCAGACTGCTAGGATTACAGGTGTAAGCAAGCTAAATTGTTGAGGGACTCATCTAAGGAAACTGAATCAAATTACAAACCCCAAATTGCAGCATACAGGACAGTAAAACCAACAAGGCCAAGGAGAGGACCCAAATTTAAAGAAGCAATATGGTTTTGATAACTTATCAGGAAAAGTAGGAAATCACAATATGCCTACTCAGTGAACTGAGTAGAGAACGTTCAGTCACTTGCATGTTATACTTTGCAATAATCATTTTATACCCCATATTAAGTGATAAATGAATATACTGTTTCACAACTATTTCTGCAAAGTGGCTTTAAGATCATACGTAAATTTTAATCTAAATTTCCTTCTTTGGTGGTACTTTTAATTGTTCTTATATTGTTTTATGTGTCCATATTTCCTCTCCCTTACTAACTTATGTTTTATTCTCTCTTTCTTTAGTTTACTCTGACACCATCAGTGTCAAGACCAACCGCCTTAAAAGTGTAACACTAAATCAGCTTCTCTTGGTGAACTATTGATTGGTAAATGCTGTTCTCAGTACCACATTTGGGGGCAAGGGAGGTATTACCTTATGATGCTTTACTGCTTTATAGCGATAGAACACTGGTACTATGAACATGAACTGGATAACTTGCTTTGCCTATTAGGGGTAGAAAGATTTTTTTCTTATTCTAAGACTGGGGTAGGGGTGAGAGTATTTGCATTAATTGAAGCAGTAGGAATCATTTTTGTAAGCTTCTTGTGTTCTGGAGTGTGTCTCTGAAAATGCTGCTAGCCATGTTCCTTTCCTGTAATGGTATGACAGATATAACCAGATTAAAATTCCAGGAAATATTTAATACTCAGTTATGCTCTAGAAAGGTTAGCCCTTATAAGCCTGACCTTTCTGTTTATGAATTAAATAATAAATTTAACATTTTCAGGAATTATTATAAAATTGTATATCCTTTACCAATAGCATCTTGCATTGGTATATATGGAGAGGTGTATTTTTTTCTTTTTTTGTTTTTGAGACAGTCTTACTCTATCGCCCTGGCTAGAGCCCTGTGGTGTCATCATAGCTCAACGTAACCTTAAACTCCTGGGCTCAATCCTCCTGCCTCAGCCACCG